ACCATCCGAGAAATACACCACTACTCGGTACTATTTTAGTTAATCCATCTCGTAATTTCTTTTGGTTTATATTCAAGGGGTAGCTGAGAGTAGGAATTTAATTTTTTTTCTCTTGCCTTTCATAGACTTAGACCCAGTTATATTGCCAAGTTACATTGGTAGTCTCGGTGATAGAAATTTGGGTACAGTTGTGAAGGCCCTACTCTTGCTTTATGTTTTGCCTAATTCTCAAGTTACACTGACTTCCACCTCCTATTGTGAATAGCAATGTTGCTTCAAAGTTTTCGTTCCTATGCATGAGCCGAGGAAAATGAGGCTTGATGGCATTTTCGAAGATAAGGAAAAAAGTTTAATTCCTTTTAAGCCTTTGAGTATAGAGGTGTTGGGAAGAGATAGATGCCTTTTGATTGCCCTCCCTTGATTTGAAAATAGTATTTGTTCCCCCATTTCTTCATATATGATGAATAATGCTTTGTAAAATAAGCCAGTAAGGTAATGATTAGAGGTGTCTAATTAGTGTAGTGTGTGGTAATTGATTCTCAGTGAAGGGTAGTATTACCTGGTTGATGCAAATGCTTTATGAATTAAGGGTCATTCTCTGCATTTGTTGTTAGGGCAGCTGTTAAAGGTCTTATTACTGTTCAAGATATGGGCGTATATGGTATATATTCTGTAGTGAGTAATTGCCCTATATCAGCATGCTCTTTTCTTTAGATACTTGAGGACTGCCAAGGTCTCATTCTTTTTTTTTTATTTGATGTGTATAGGTAGAAACGCTGCGAAGAGGATTCAAAGAAATTGGGATACTAAAAAATGATCGGCGTGGAAGATATGAAATGTTAAATCCTACAAATATAGGTCTTTCCTTTTAACCCTTACTCTTCCGCTGCAGATATAAGTACAAATGCATGTGCAATAGCAGCAGAAACCTGCTCCCTCTCAATTGTCTTCACAGTTGCTAATGCTATTCCTATTATGCTTTTTGCTGAAAAGAGAAATGATTTCTTGTACCGCTGCAACCATCTCTGAATGAATTTGGTTTGTTCAATTATATTTCCAGGTCACTATCTAGGAATGGACGTTCATGATTGTTCTACAATTGGAAATGATCGACCTCTGAAACCTGGTGTAGTAAGTTTCCTTCCTTACTGATGATTGCTTTGATATTTGAAAATAATCGGGAAACTGCTAGGTTTGCAAAAGAAATTGGTTGTCATTATTTTGAAATCCTCCTAACGAATGAGGACCAGTGACTTGCTCATTTGGAAACAAATGAGCTTTGCCATAATGCATCACTCTCTTTTAGCAATTTACAATGAGTTTTCCTCCATAGGATAGTTCAGTCATTCTCTCTTTGCTTCTTGACTGGATTACAATATGAACCAACTAAGAATGCTTATGTTTTTAGAGCCATGTGGTCAAATTTCCCTTTTCCTTCACTTTTTTCATTTTTATAGAGATGCAAAGGGTTAAAAGAGAGGATTGAATGATGATATATATGAATATTTTCTAAACTGCTTTTGTCATATGCACCTCTTTGGTCCTATTGCAGCTTCTAATTTCATCACTTCTACTAGTAGTTACATGGAGAAAGTTAAATTCAGAAATGAAGTTGGTTAGGTTACATGGAGAAAATTAAATTCAGAAATGAAGTTGGTTAGGTTTATTTCTATTGAAGGATGTGTACATCAGGGTAGTGCGTGTATTTGCATAAAAATTATGTTTGAAATATCTGACGGTCCAATTAGCAGAAAGATCAAAGTATCTTTTGCTTCTCTCTAGATTCTATATAGACCTTTGTTTTGATTGATTAATTTGAAATATTTGAAATGATTAATTCCTCGACCGCTTAGTTCATTAACCCCGGCTTCATACACGATGCAATTTTTGTTATTGATAAAGGTTTCGTTCCTGGTATGTCTACTCTTTATCAAAAAGTAAAGCTCTTGTATATCTTTTCATTCTGAGTCACAAGGAATGTAATATTCCTGCAGAATGTGTAATGTTATATGCAATTGTAGTAAAATTTCTCAGTAGCTCGCGCATCTTGTTTTCATGTTGGTACTGCAAACTGTTAACTTATACTTTATGTATAATCCATTTCATGACAAGTACCTTGCTCTTGTGAAAGGTACTTAACGTCCAACATGCTTGCTTCCATGTATGAAAAATTATTAGTTATCCCATTTTGCTCCTTTTTCCTTCATTCTTCTAATCATAAAAAATTGGAATATGCTCCCGACCTGTCTGATATGACAATAAAAACATACACAATATATATCAAGTCAGCTGTTATATGCAAAATTACTGAAGGTAATTCCAGTAATACAGCTTATTGGTGTCAGCGGTAGATTTATGTTAAATTATGCTTTAACTGAGGTCTATTTTGCCAGTGATATCTGTATCCATGCATTTGTTTTTAGTCCTTACAAAAAACAATTTCAGAACTACTATGTTTTTGAATAAGAAGCACCATGAACATGCTACTTAGAGGTCTTAGTTTGTATAATTTATGTTGATCATATCTGTGGAGAAATATGCTAATTTTGCGTGGGCCGTGGCATTTGTATTTGAAAGAAGTACATGACTTTTGATTGTTCTGAGATTATGTGCAGAGTCTAGTTCTTTGACTTCGGGACTATGGAAAACTTTGTGTTTACTCTACATTCATACATCTAGACAAGGTCATGGCCAATTGCGAAACATGCTTTACGTTTTTTTAAAAGTGACGGAGACGCATATAGCTCAGAATGATGAGATGAAATTGGACAAAGCTAATAGTCTAGGATAAAATTGCCTGGTCATTGTTTAGACATTTGTAAACTCCTGTTCCCTCTGTTTGTTTCTACATTAACCTTGATGAGGCGGTCATTGATAAGAAGAATCTCTGACCCCATAAATAGATGAGTCCTTTTCATCTTAGCTTCCAATTACTTGTGATTTCTGCAAGAACTTGTGATCAATCTTCATGGACTGTTATATGTAGGTCATCACAATTGAACCAGGAGTATACATCCCTTCATGCTTTGATTGTCCAGAAAGGTAATACTTGTTACCTCATCAAATTAATGTTCCTTTTGGCATGCATTCAGAAGTTACTGTATCTTAGATCATCCTCCAGATTCTTGGTTTATTGAACTGGTTCTATCTGCCAAAATGTATTATGGTGGATGGACGAAGAGTTACTCTTTCATGCAGAAAAGATTGAGAATCATATAAAGATGTCTGTTCTAGGTGGGTCAGGTAGATCTTGTAGGTCTAGTCAACATGTTAATCTAAGGACATTGTAGCAGAAGTAGTCGTATCGTGCAAAGGAGTCCCAGTTTGGTTGGGCTTTCAGTGAATGACTGATGGCTACTTGTATGTTCAACCGAGAATGGGATCAGGAACCTTTACTTCGAAATTTCTTTTGCAAGGTTCGAGAAAACTTCCCAGAAACAAATAGCTCGAAAGAAATATGAAAGAAATATTCCACGTATCAATGGCATATTCTGGCTGTCCCATTCTAGGGAAAATTGTTGCTTTTGTCATAAATCTTAGGGAGAAAGAATTATTGCTCACTTGAACTAAGAAGCTTCATCTGCTGATTCATCTATTGTTAAGGAGCTAGATTATTCTCTTACCCCAATAAGGAACAACGTGTCTGTTTCCTTAGAATTCTTGATTTTTACTCACTTATATATGTCTATATTCACTTATGCTCATTCAGGTTCCAAGGCATTGGATTTAGGATTGAAGATGAAGTCCTTATTACAGAATCAGGTTATGAGGTATAGTTACAGAAATCGTTCAATTGTTTGAACAACCGAGTTATACAAGTACCAGTTCATATGATCTCTGATACTTTGATCACTTCCGACACTTGTTAGCATTCAAGACCTGATTTTCTGCCCTACTGGAAACAGGTACTTACTGCATCCATACCGAAGGAAATTAAACACCTCGAGTCCTTGTTGAACAACTTTGGCAGTGGGAGAGGAACAGAAATTAGAGCTGCTCTCAGTTAGTTCTGTTTTTAAAGTCTCCAAGTTTCTACACAGAATCAAACAAAATAGCAGGACCAGAATCTGAGTGATCCTTAGTCATGCTTGTTTTAGTCAGAAGTTTTATATCTGCTCCTCATTCTTTTCGCAGCCATTTCTACTCTACTAGCAAGAACGTGGATCATTGAATAAGAATGGGGTTTCGCAGCCATTTCTACTCTACTACCAGTTCATATAATGATTTATGTTATACTCATTTTAATAAGAACAATTTTATTGACTTTTATTTATAGAATAAGTAGTATAAGTTGAAGGATCGCTAGGAAGCATTTCTTTGTCATACAGTATTGTCTTTGTGCAGTCCAATATTATCTAAAGATCATAGTTATATGTATCCAAGCTGGATTCGTTTATAAAGTACGGTTCAAAATAAACCCCTAAAACTTCCAAGAACAGGTTAATTCTTTTGGCTAATAGACACCTTTATTTTTATTTTATTTTCCATAAAGTTGCCAATAAAATTCAACTATTGGCATACATTTGAAAACTAATGGATCGTAATTAAAAGTAGGCGAACCATTAATTGAGTCTAGCCTTTATCTGCCTCAAAAGTCAAGATTAGAAGTAGGTGAACCGTGAATTGAGTCGGGACCACTCGATGTCATATAATGAGCTCTAGAATTAACTTTCAACACTAATGCCTTATTTATTTTTTTCCTTTTTTTATATAGTCAATAGTGATTAAGTTGGAATTCATCCAAACTGAGTTCAAAGTACATACGAGTCTAAAGTTACTTTGGCAAGCCCAACTTCGAGTTATATGTCTGAATTTCTTTTTTTCAGAAAAGTGTTTTTTATTATGTTCTACAAATCCATTCAAATTCTTTGTAACATCTACACATCTAACCTGTACAGCAACAGATGACTTCAGAGTGCTGTTCATGCCATTCACGATTCTCTAATTAATCTCTTTAAATCTGCAATTTTTTGCAGTAAAAGCTTCTTTGACTGACAAAATCACTTTTTCTCTGGATTTTGGCCCATCAATGTACTGAGAAGTAGGTTAGTTAACTGCTCCCGCAGTTGGTAATTCAATGCCAAGTTTTTCTCCAAATTCTCCTTGGTAGCGAGAAGTTGTGTTTTTCTCATCTCAGCAGCAGCAATCTCAGAATTATTTGAATGGTTAAGGTTGCCTAGAAGTTGTGCAAATCTTGCCTTGAGCTCATTGACGTGATTCCTCAATTCCTCCACTTGTACCTGGCATTCAACCAGGAAATTACCCACCTGTTCCCTGAATTCCTCCATTTCTCGACTTCCTAAACTGTAATAGCTCTGTTCCTCTTTCTCTAACTCTTCCAAATTGTCTACCTCATCCTTCAAATCCCTGTGTTTCTGAAGATTCTGGAGATAATCAGCATCGAGCCGGTGGAGGCGAGACTTGAGAGAAGAGATAAACAAGTATTGGGAAGCAATTTTGCGATCAAGCTTGAGGCAACGCTGTTCCATGGATGCGATGTTGGAGAGTCTGGAGGCCAACACCTGAGACTTGCTTTGCTGGAGCTCTTTCTCCGACTGAAGAATAGAGAGACGCTCGTTTCTGCTCTGCTCCATCTGTTCAAGTCTTTCTCTGAATGCCGACGGAATCGCCATTGCTGCTTTGTCTGAAGTTTCAAACTTAAGATTCAGGAGTTTTTAACTTCAGCCTCTTAAGTTTAATTTGAAAATGATGCTGGGCGGCTAAACATTAATTAGTGCTCCTCCAAACGGCTATCTGTGCACTTGATGGTTCCTTGAGAAATGATAAAAATTATTACTAATTGTTAAGTATTTACAATAATTTGATATAAAATTAATAATCTCATAACTCATGTTGGTAATATTATTATTAGTACAACAAAAGACAATTAAACATCCGATTGTATAACAACAACAAACTCGGGGAAATCACACAAGTGGAGTCTGGAGAGGTTAGTGTGTACGCAAACCCCTACCCTGTGTAGGTAGAGAATCTGTTTTTGAAAGATCCTCGAGAATGAACAGAAAACAATCAAATTTCAACAACAAAAGCCAGAAAAATGATAACAGCAATGTAAGAACCGAAAAAATAGATGGAAAAAAGTAATAGCACGAGCAATAGCACTAGCAATAGCGAAAGTAATAGCAACAAACAGTTACCACAGCAAGTAACTAGAAAATCGAAGCAGAAGATAGCAAGAAAACAATCATAATACTAGCAATCTGAGAACAATGACAAGATACTAACAGACTAGCCCTAAACAACCTGGTATGGATTAGAAAAACGCCCGACTACCTATTATTCTTTTCCCCTAATTCCGACCTCCACACTCTACTGTCAAAGATCATATCCTCGATAAGCTGAAGTCACACCATGTGTGGGATTGACAAAATTTAATATCAAATCTATTTTCTATAATGGAATTAACCAAACAACAGATTGTAAAAGATTTCTAGTTCTAGAGCCAAAGTAAATAACTGGCCCACTAAGAATTGTATGTGTCGATGTTATGGGTGGGAAGGAAAAGGAACAGATTTCTTGAATGTAATTAGAGGGAGTTGGTAGTTGCCATTATTTGGCTACTACGTAGTGGTTAAATGTGTGTAACCATCTCACCGTCCACATTTATTCAGCAAACCATAGCTATTACTTCCTTGGACAAACTAGACTCTGATGGATTTCAACTAGCATCTTTTGGCTGAGAGAGGCGCGTTGTGCAGCAGTCCGTTGTCGGTTAATTAAAGAAAACTGATACACAAAAGAGAAAATAAAATTCAATTTTTTTTTGGCTTAATTACTTTCAAGATCTTATCATCTTTTTTTTTTTTTTTGGCGTCAAGATACTATTGATTAGGGAGGTACAAATCAAGGAAGCAGGTAGTTGCAATATGCAATAAAGTGATCCTATTTTTAGTGATAAATAGCAGTGACAACATTTAGTAACAATGAATCATACTAAACTTTATGCTCCTATAGGATTCTATATATAAAAAGCTAATAGAGTGATACCTATGTATATCTGATCTAACATAATCAATGGTCATTTAGTATGGAACTAATCGTCTCGGTTTTGTTTGACCAAAAAATATAAATCTTAACTACTCAATTTTATGTAATAAGGGATTAAGCCTAGTTGATAATAATATTCCTGGATTTATAACTAGCTAACACTTACAATGCGGGATAGTGTTAGTGAGCTGCATTTAATATTTCAAGGAAAGTAACGATGAAAGAATATCAAGCAATAAATAATAATAAATGGCATTAACGTAAATAAGGAGAATGATTCACCCAATATCGAATGAGGTAGATGATTCTTCTTTCTGACAGCGATGAGTGATAGACAAATCCTAGAATATTGGAATTAATATCGGATGTGATGGTAAAGTATAGAATAATGGATTGTAGAATCTTATTAGAAAGGTAGTGTTTGTATCTTTTCTAGAGTCTTCTTCTCAAAAAGTGCTCTTATAAGAATAAATTACATGCCCGTTCCCCTTATCTCTTTTTCTATTTATATGGGACATATCCCCAGTCAACCCTAAAAGTACCTGTACAGAGAATATTTAATGGATTTCCCTTAAATATCCTATTACAAAAACTAGTCGTTGGTACCGTCCTTGATACTTGACCTTGGCCGTTATTGACCGCCCTCTTTTTCCTCGCTGTCTACTAGTCGACCTCGGCCACATCACTCCATAATACCACTCCATGCTAAATCCCATTGAGGCAGATTTTGACCTATACAGTTAGTCCCTCCGCTTATTGATGTCGACCCTGGGCGACCTCGATGAGCGGACTCTGTTAGTTATGGTTGAGAAGTTTAGACGAACAGGTCGAGTAGTAGTGTTTCAGACGGGGTAGAAACATGGTCTTCCGTGAGCCGCAACCCGGGGTCACGTCATTTCAAACTGACGTCATGTCATCATACGTCATTATTATGCGTTTTTCCGATGCCTTGCATTGTTTTCTGTGCCTCTACCGCTTCGATTCCTGAGTTGGGTAACGACGATTTGCTTTCTTGATATTGATGCCTGAACTCTTATAAATAGGGATACAAAATCCTTTGCCTTACTCTTTGCGGTCTAAATATTGGACCTTCATACCTTCTTCTTCCTTCCTCATTCAGAATCCTTGCTCTTTTGATCTTATTTCCATATTCTTGCTTTCACTGATTCTGGTGGCTCCCGCTACTCTTGACTCTTCTGTGTTTACATCTTCTTTATTCATAAACAAAGATAGTTAACGCGTCTTCCAGTTCTGGGGGGTACCTGACCCTGTTCTTTTGGCAGTGTGCATGCTTCCCTATGACGATGGGGTTGCCATTGTTGCGGAGGATGAAAGCTTTCCTATGGTGGAGGAAATAATTTTCCGTAACGAGAAAGTTAGATCTGACTTTTCAAAACCGCCCGAGGACGACCCCGAGGCCGCGAAATCGGTGATGGATGTGGTTGCCCTTGCTAATTTCAGGGTGAAGTTCAAAATTCCAGCATATATCGATCTGGTCTCGGCTGGTCGAGATGTGGTGCAGATTCATCGCCCAGGATATTGCGCATTCTATGCGTATCCGTTCTATGTGGGCTACTCTTTTCCCCTTCTCCCATTGACGGAGGAATTTCGCCGCTACTACGGCGTCTGCTCGGCCCAACTTTTACCTTACATCTACAACTCATCCGCATGTTGACGAAGTACACGGAATTGGCCGGCCGTGGGATCTCTCTTCGTCACCTGATGCACCTCTTTGCGCCCAGTTGCTATAGGGGGATAATGTTGCATCTTCGTCACCGAGGAAGTAAGAGTTTGGTGGTGAAGATGGATGATAAAGCAAATCGTCGATTCTAGCTTAGCTACTTCTACGTCATGACCGAGGACGTGGTGGTAAATGCGAATGGATTTCCTGAGGCATGGAATTATGCCCGTAAGTATTTTTTACTAAGCGCTTATTTTGCTCATTTTGATTGTAGCCTAACACTCTGCCTTCTCCTCGTCCAGCTGAGACTTCGCCCCCTTATTTGGTTGCGGATATTCATGACTGGGTTAGCCAGGTCTTGCCTCAAACAGTGAGGATTCGCGAATGGTCGGCCTTTATCAAGAGGTTTGGACCCACGCTTTCTGCGACCAGTGAGTTTACCCGTTTTGAATCTTTATTGTTGCGGTCTTCTAGTCGCTTGCTTCTTATTGTTTTGTGGGGATCGACCTCTTAATATTCTTTTTCTTCTCTTTTGTTTTTAGCCCGGGGATCCTCGAGGAGGTAGAATGCCCCTACTCCTGCATTTCACAGATGAACACTACAATGGGGTCCTCCCCTGTCGTGACTGTGGCCAAGCTTGCTCGACCATCCACTTCTATTCGGCCTCCGGTTTCGGCTAGATCGGCTCGATCGTCGACGACTTCAATATCAAAGACTCCGGCCTCTCCCTTGCTTCATTTAATAGATGAAAAGTCTTCACCGAGCGAGGAGGATTTAGTCCCTCGTAAAAGAAGGTCGGTGGATATCGGAGATGGGACAATCCAAACCGTAAATTCTATAAGGAACGAACGCGAACCGGCCTCCGTTGTGCCTGAATACGGTGCAAAGTTTCCATCTGAGGTCCTGCCGTCAGCGGGAGATGCAGAAAGCGTACCTTTTGCTGATGCCGACGTTGGAACTGGTGGAGGGTCCGTTGAGGTTCTGGGTACTATACGGCGAGATGTGCCATCATCCCCGCGGCCAGTTGATGCTCCTACCTCGTTTACCGACGAGAGAGGTAAGGGGGTTGCTGAGGATGGTTATGAGACAGGCTTCGATATGGACCCTGAGGAGGTTAGGATGGTGGGAGAAGGACTCACTCGGCTCGAGGTGAGATTGGACGGAACCACGTGGACCATCGCGATCCCTCTGGACCGGGATCTGCTAGTTGATATAGAGGACGCGGTCCCTTCTCTTGGTCCTCTCTATTTTGACGTGGAGGGTAAGACCCTCGAGAAACTTAAGGATTCCTCATTGTCGAGGACCATAGCCGACCTTGCTATTATGGTAAGTTGGGTATTTTATTTGTATGTTCATTCATGTCGAATCCAATTTTATTCTTACTCTCTCTGGTTTTCTTTTCTGACAGTGATCTTGGAGATCGAAAGCTCCCGCTGAGAGGAGAGGTGAAAGGCCATTTTCCAAAAGATGGAGCGGAAATATCGCGGGTATCGTGATATGCACCGCGAACTTTGCAGGCGGCTTGGTGGGAGTAGCAACTTCCCAGCTCTACGAGACGAGCTAAAGGAGAAGGATGACGAATTGGTGAGGGTCATCGGAAGATGTAGTGAGCTTGAGGGGGCATTGGAGGACAAGGAAGAGGAGCTCGAGGTGAGCAGGGGAGTTGAGGCCTAATGCGCCAACCTTCAAGCCCAAGTGAGCTCGTTGCGGGCCGAGCTCGAAGAAAGTCTAATAAAGGCGGATGCTCTGGGTGGTGAGCTCGTCGAGAGGATAGTGAACTTAGAGATGTCGGAATCGGATCGGTTGGTGGCTTTGAGGCAAGTAGAGGCATCGGAGGCCGTAATCCGCGTTCTTCGTTCAGAGCGGGCGAGTTATTTGAAGACGGCGAGGCTCAGAGAGGAGCGACTCGATGAGCGTATAGGGGAGTTGGAGACAGAATATTCA